ATGTCACCAAATCCAAGGCTAAAATGATTGATACATGACCAAGGGTAGCCTTATATCACAAACGACCTTAAACAGTCCATCGCTTCCTTGATCCCATGATTGCAGTGGTGTTCTTACAGTCTTATCACTGGCTCAACCAGGTCTAATTCATCTGGGGAAATCCGTAAACCTATCCATGGATTTGCCACTCTCTCACTGCTTCACCCGAACTGGTGGTTACCACTGTTCCTTCCACGATCTAACAACACTCCCACGTTATCTACCAACCTAGTGAATGCTACGGCTACACCCGCAGTCTTACAACATTCTAACATTATCTTCCAACCTTGTGAATGCTACGGCTACACCTGCAGACTTACAACACTCTAACACTATATGTCAACCTTATGAATGCTACGGCTACACCCGCAGACTTACAACACCTTCTCACACTATCTGGCTGGTAGTGAATGATACGGCTATCCCGCAGTCTTACAACACTTTCCACACTATCTGGCCGCTAGTGAATGCTACGGTTATCCTGCGGTCTTACAACACTTCCCACACTATCTGACTGCTAGTGAATGCTACGGCTATCCCACAGTCTCACAACACCTTCCACGATGTCTCAATCGATGATTACCAATCCGAACACATCTGACGTCGAGCACACACACGATCTAACACCCCAACTGAACTCATGTCCTGACTGGAATCCCCAACCTGGTTCCCTAAGGCCTGCTATCAAACATTCCGAGAACGCGATCTCATCATTGGCAAGTTTTCCGAACTTCCAACTCACACTATCCTCAATCCATACAGCCGCTTGGGTTGTCTTCCTTCCTGACAAGGATGTGAAACTTATCCCAATTTCAAAACTGCTCCTGCTTCTGAATCCCTGGACGATTCTCCCCCACTTAGATTCGACTGAATCTTCACAATACATGAAAATTGAAGAATTCCCAATCCTTCTCACTTTCCAATGATCGATCCGATGACAACCAGCTCTTACCAACTAGTGCTTCATTACTAACCAATCCCAAAAGATCACACAACTTCTAAGAACCAGACGAACACTTCCCGAATCCCAGAGAAACCGATAACTCCAGATGCTTGAAAATGATACCACACTCGAATCTTGAAGACCAAAAGACAGATGTTCCCACCAATACCTCAGCAACAAGCCACTTCCCTTGGCGCTTCCATCAGTCCGTCAATAACGGTTACTAACACCATCGAATCCTGACAATGTTGAATAACCATCCCGCGGAACTCTGACCGCAGACCTTCCACATAACACCCCTGAACCGATCTCAACCTTAAACCAGATGACACTGTACACTCTCAACCCGTAATTAGGGAAATGACCTTTCACTACCCACTAATAATTCTCGGCATGCAAATGGCATATGACATCACTTGAAGATATAACCCAAACACAAGCAGGGAAACAAACCCGATGATACACTTACCTAAACCCTTGGAACAAACGACTCCATCGTACCGTTTCCCGCAAATGCTGCACTGAATCCGGCCCTGCTGGCCTCTCAAAAGCTGATCTGAAATCTTGGGTCTTTTCTCGAGACCCTCCAATATATGCAACTGATCTGGTTCCCTCTTCCCAATGTGCTCCAAGTCAGTATCCCGTTCTAGGGCTCTAGAATTCGTATCATTCCTGGTCTCACACCCCGAGATACTCACGATCTCCCTGATATCATTCTGTAGTATGTCATGATACCTTATCTTCTTCATTTTCTCATCAGTTGCATACCGCGGTACCAATTAAGCCCTCTCCCGAAATTTGGCAGTGATCCCTGTCACAGTCTCAGTAGTCTGACGGAGACCTAACAACTCTTGCGCCAACTGTTGCGCCTCAATCGCCTGGGCAAACTCTGCCCGGAATCTGATCAAAAAGTCATCCCATGACATAGCATCAACCGCATCATCACCCAACTCACTACCAACCTCTTCTCATCAATCACGTGCCCTGTCCTTCAGGAGGCAGGAAGTAAGTCGGACCTTGTCCCTCTCGGGCAACAGCTTGTACGAAAAGCGTTGGCGACATCTGCCAACCATCTGTTGCTAGCAATGGGGTCCCTATCCCCGTGATAATTTAGAGCTTCACAAGCTCTGAACTCCCGAAACATCAACGTACGCGTCCCTATCATGGTCGCTATCTCAGTGCAGAATGCACTCATCCTCTCATCAAGAATCTCCAAATGCCCTCCTTGACCATATCAATACAAAAAGCTTAGAGAGCAAAAATAGAGGCTAGGGTTTGCTTCGAGGCTGAGAGAGTGTGATGGAGGCTGAGGGTGAGCAACCCTAGCCATCACATTCTCTTAAATACGCTGCAAACCCCGGATATTAGGGTTTCTCATTAAACAGCTGCAAGGCCGTGGCCATAGGCTGCCACGCCGTGGCGGCCATTTAAAACCCGCAATGCATCAACCATCACCACATTGTGGGATTCCTTCACCACGACGTGGTGCCGCCCAAAAACAAAATATGCATACATTAAATTAAAGTACCCCTAAGAATCCGGATGTTACATGGGGAAATTGATTATCATAAAATAGTTAAAAGTTTGGGAAAATATGCAAAATAAATTGTTTAAAGGACTAAAATATGCGTTAAGAAATAGTCAAAGGACAATTGACGTAAATCTGTGTATTAGAAATTTTTTACCAGGCTGGATGCATGTGTATTGACATTGCAGGTTTATGATATGAACACGGAGACCATAGTTAGTTGGTTTTTAATTAAGGGAATTTCAATGGAAAAGAGACCATGAGATTTGGTAGAATGTTCCCATCAAATAATAGTTAAGCCATGCTACCATACAGTTCAATATATATATATATATATATATATATATATATATATATATATATATATATATATATATATATATATATATATATATATATATATATATAACTTGGACCTAGCTATCTACTAGGTAGCTAAATTTTGCTTAATATATTAATTATATATATACTTGACACTTACCTGAGATCCTGAATCTAAGTGTTACATTGCTTCTAAGTTTTCCTATATAATTAATTAATTAACTAATGGATAAGTGCAAAAATCTAGAGGTAAGAACTTAGAAAATAGTTACTTGACTTTCTAATCAAAGATTAGTCGTGAGGAAATTAAAATCCATGATTTTTCCTGCATATTTCCATTGATTTTCTTAGAGCTTTGCAAGCACCATGAAAGTCATATGGGTTGTGTTGGTAATTACTTAACGGGGCATGTATTTTCCAGTGTAATTTTGGAGCATCTACCATTCTACCTGCAGGAAATAAATGGTTTGAAGATGCTCTGAAATTAAGGACAGAGATAAGCTTAATTAATTAATATTATTTAATTGATCGTAATTAAGCAACCTGATTAGCCTCATAATTAAGCATGTTCCTTCAATCTCCAAAATAACTATGTGGTTCCAAACTCATAAAACATTAGTATACATTTAACTTTTACTCGCTTAATTGGTCTCTTGATGATTAGTTTGAAACTTTTAGCTACCTAGCAATACAATTATAACAGTTTAATTAAAGTGTTAATTTGTCTCTTATGCGTCCTGTGGATTTTAAGGGTCTTGTGCGAAAAATAAAATTGTCCCCTCTATATATATATATATATATATATATATATATATATATATATATATATATATATATATATATATATAAAAGCAAAATTCGTTGATACTACGATAAGTCGATAGATGTTATAAAAACAATTAAAATAAAAGAGCAATAATATGATATATATAATCTTACATAGTACCATGAATTAGAGAATCTTCTAGCATTCTTTGAAACAAAATTGGTCACAAACTCTTCATAATCAAATATTATCCAATATATTGACCTCAAAAGTTATCATTGTCAATCCATTTAGTCATTCTTATAACATTGTGCACCATAAGTATGACTTTAACAACTTTAATTTTAAGAAACTTTTTTATGCAGACGTCGTTGTTACTAGAATAGTCAACAAGACTATATGCAATAACTATAGTAGAAAAACAATCGACTTTACATATATTTTAAAACATAGATGGGGTTGATACCTTCACTCGAAAAGAATTTGTAATTAATAATGAGGAAAGTGTGTCATCATCGTCTTAATTTTTTCATATATTTTAAACGCTTTCCTCATTTCTGATTGCACTCCGACTCTCTATTGTCCATTAACTGTTTATGTGTAATCGTTGTCTTACTTGTTTAATCAGCAACAACAATAAGAATATAAAAACGAGATGCCATCAGATTTAGAAACAACGAATAATGGAATACTTACTTGTTTAATTCTGGTTGACAATAAAGAAAAACAAAAGCGGGATCAGAAACAAGAGGTGGAGTCTAGTAGAATTAGAAAAAACAAAAATAAGAAACATCACTTGATTTGTAGTTGTTGTAAATTTGAAATTTTGGAATTCAAACAAAATATAAAATCTTGTTTGCTGCAAATCTACATTAGCCCAAATGCAATTTTTAATTTTAACACAACAATTTTAATTTTAGCATGAGCTCCTAGAATCGAAACAAAACATGGGTTTTTACTTTGAATTATCGGATTGTCGATTGCTAGGCAGTAGAGTGAATCATATGTGAAATTGGGTCCCACCACAACATGGGTCAGGTAGGATTGCTAGGCAGTGGAGTGAATCATATGTGAAATTGGGTCCCACCACAACATGGGTGAGGTACGATCGCTCACATCGCACACTCTCCACCCTCAAAGATGTTGGTTTATCTATAGCTGACTAAAAATGTTGTTGGTTATAGGTTTAATTAGTTTATTAGTTATGCATTTAGAAATGGTTAGATATTTAATTTACCATTTACAACTACTACGTATTTTAAAATTAGCTATATTTTAATATTTTTCAGTAGAAGTCAAAGCATATCTTTGACCAACTGATCAAATATGAACACTTATACTTTTGATGCACATGCACCTTAGCTATATATACCCATGCGCATCTCTTCGAAATTGAAGTACAACACATATCGCATCAACTAATCTTAATCAATCACCATCATATCCTTCAACTTCATGGCAATCATCTTCTCTAAGGTTGGCATTATCGGAGGTGGCATAAGTGGGTTAGCCGCCGCTAAACAGCTTTCCAAACACAACCCAATGGTGTTTGAGGCCACCGATTCTATCGGTGGTGTTTGGAAGCACTGCACCTTCAGAACAACCAAACTTCAAACACCTCGTTGTGACTATCAATTCTCCGATTACCCTTGGCCACAAACAGATGATAACTCCAGTTTCCCATCTTATTCTGAGATTCTTGATTATCTCGACTCTTATGCCAAACACTTTGATTTATTCAAGTTTATCAACTTCAATTCAAAGGTCACTGAAATCAAGTTCGTAGGTGACCACGAAACCATGGCTTATCAAAGTTTGATGTCTGGAAAACCCATGTGGGAAGTTGCTGTTTATAATACCAACTCTGACACCATTCAGGTTAACTATAACTACTTTTTCTTCTTAATATGTTAAGAGTATAAAATTGCATGCAGAAAAGAGATTAATGTTATTACATGCATGTGTTGCAGTGGTATGCATTTGAGTTTATTGTGGTGTGTACTGGGAAATATGGAGATATACCCATAATACCAAAGTTTCCTATGAAGAAAGGCCCAGAAGTATTTAAAGGGAAGGTGATGCATTCTCAAGATTACAGCAAACTGAACACACAAGAATCTACACAGCTTCTGAAAGGAAAGAAGGTTGTGGTTGTGGGCTACAAAAAATCTGCCATTGATCTTGCTGTTGAATGTGCTGAAGCTAATCAAGGTAAAATTATTATTCATTCATTTAACAATTAATAATTATAAAAAAAAAAAAAAAAAAAAAAAAAAAAAAAAAGTATAACTAACTAACTAAGAATTGGATCGTTTAATTTGGTAATAAAACGTGTCGGCTAAAATTGGAGCAAGAAACTATTTGTTCATTTTGATTGGCTGATTTTGAAAGTTTGACAAGTATGGAGTTGAAAAGGGAAAAGGGAAATTATCATTGTAGTTTCCATTTTAAGGCATACCGTTAAAGAATTCTCCTAAAAAACTTTCCATTTTTAGACCTCTAAATTCTCAACCCTTCAATAATACTCGCTTTCTCCCTCTTTAACTATCTAGTTTAAAGATACTTGTAAAAGTCTTAACCTTTTCCTAGTAAAACAACCCTTCAAGTTGTCTATCCTAAAGTGTCTATATATGTTAAGTGTTGACTTTTTTTAATTAACTAGTTTATATAAAAATCAAAGGCTACCAAACCAATTAGACAATTTATTAATTAAGTAGTCTATATAAAAAAATAGTCTAAAGGCTATTAGGCTACCAAACCAATTAGACAAATTATTAGGTAAAAAACTTAAAAGAACTAGCATTCATCAAAAAAATCCAAAAAAGTTAATTTCCGACAATCAATCTACACCAATCCTAGTCATAAAAAATATCTTGTAACGGATAAAACAGATATTATTCGTCCAAACCCTAAAATACCGAATTAAATATCTTGTTATTTTTTATTTCTATAAATCCTTATACCCAATTAAATTGTGACATGTGTAACATTTAATGCTTATTTAATAAAATTTAATTATATTTTAGTATACTAATGTGACACATATCTCATTTAAATAGGTAGGAGGATTGGTACGAACAAAAAGTATGATAATATTTAATTTCTCTTGTGTATATGAAACTAATATATTGTTTGATGTTTATGAAAATTAAAGAGGAAGAAGGGAAAGCTTGCACAATGGTGGTGAGGACTCTCCATTGGACTGTTCCACATTACTCGATCTGGGGTTTACCATTCTACTTATTCTACTCCACAAGATTTTCTCAATTCTTCCATCAAAGACCCAACCAAGGCATCTTCAGAGACCTTCTTTGCAGCCTAATTTCCCCTATGGTAATTAAACATTTAAACCCCATGTTCAATAATTATCTAATATTATTAATTTCACTACAAATTAACGACTAATTTGTCCTTGACTTACAGAGAAAAACAACATCCAAGATGATCGAATCTTACCTTCTATGGAAGCTTCCACTCATCAAGTACGGATTAAAACCAGAACACCCATTTGAGGAAGACTACGCATCATGCCAAATGGCAATCTTGCCTGAAAAATTCTTCCCTGAAGTCGAAAAGGGCAAAATCAATTTTAAAAAAACATCCAACTGGTGGTTTTGGGAAGGTGGTGTTGAATTCGATGACAACACCAAATTAGACGCCGATCTTGTGATTCTTGCCACTGGTTATGATGGCAAAAAGAAGCTCAAAGACATCTTACCTGAACCCTTCAAAAGTTTCCTTCAATTCCCATCTGGCATGCTTCCTTTATATAGGTAAATAAATCGTTGGTCAATGTTCATCAATTAATTTCCCCTCATTATCACCAATTTTTGCTCTGTTATACTAAAAATGTGTTAATCATGTTGACAGGGGGACGATTCATCCTTTAATTCCAAACATGGCGTTCATAGGCTATGTGGAAAGTGTCTCAAATCTTCACACTTCAGAGATTCGATGCAAATGGTTAGCTAATTTGGTTGATGATAAGTTTGAGCTACCTTCTACAGAGAAGATGCTCGAACAGATAACCACAGAAATGGAGATAATGAAGAAATCCACAAGGTTTTACAAGAGGACATGCATATCTACTTATAGCATCAATCACACTGATGAAATATGTCAAGAAATGGGATGGAATTCTTGGAGGAAGAAGAACTGGTTAGCTGAAGCATTTAGCCCTTACAACAGTCAAGACTATGAACATGACATCTGAAATTTGTGCTTTATGCCATTTATTCTTTACTTACATAATTTGTTAAATTCACAATGTTCATTAGTCATTACTTAAAATAAAAAGAGTACTCCATAACTCAAAGAGCGCTCATATATATGGGGATGTAAAGAAAACTTGATATGGAATAAATACATATAGATATTTGTTTATGATTCTCAACATAATTCTTGTACAAATTACAAAATTAAAAGCTTGAAATCCTTAAAGACTCTGAAGCAACTTCAAGGTCTCATCAATGTGCTTTTCAGGCTGGAATTGATTGTTGTAAACGAGCTGAACAACTCCATTTTTGTCAAGAACATATGTCTGTCTACCAGGCAATGTTCCAAAAAGATCAGAAGGGACTCCCCATTCTTTTCTGACTTTATTACCCTCATCACTCAGCAAGGTAAATGGGAGTCTGTATTTCTTTGCAAATGCCTACGACAATAATAACAAACTTATGTTACTTCATTACGCATTAAAACAAGAACAACAATGGATATACATGTGTATGGGTGAACTAATTGATATGTGTACACATCAACCAAGCTTAAAGAAAGTCAAATATGTTATGGACTCAATTGGGTATATGACATAAAATCGCAACATTAGAGATTGATCTTATTATTATTACCTTGTGTGATTCTGCATCATCACCACTAATCCCAATAACCTGGGCTCCTGCTTTCTTGAATTTTTCATAAGAGTCTCTGAATGCACATGCCTGAAGATTGCATAACAAATCCTGTTTATCTAATCATATACTTTCTAGACGAGAATCAACAATAATTTTTTTAAAATAGATGTTTAAACATTCAACATTAGCAGATGTAAGCTTCGAAAAGATCATTCCTTTAAGGATAACGACACGAGAAAATGTGATTCGAACCTGTTTAGTGCAACCAGGGGTTTCATCAGCAGGGTAGAAATAGACAACAAGAGGCTTGCCTTTGAATTTCGAGAGGCTCACAGTTTTACCATCTTGATCTTTAAGTGTGAACGATGGGGGCACAGACCCTTTGTTTACCTGCAATTGCAAACACGGAGACACAGAGGTGTGAGATATTGAAGTAGACATATGATCGAGAAATCAGTGAAATGTACCTTAGCAGAAACAATGGGAGAGGTCTTGCTAATCAAAGGAGTAAACGAAGAAAAGGAAGATGGGATCGAAAGGGAGAGTTTAAGGCCATGGAAGTGGGATTGAGAGGATTTGAAGGGATTATTAGCAGAAGGGTATTGTTTGGGGGTTTGAGTAGTAGCATTACAGGCAGGAAGCGAAGAAGAAAGAGATGGTTTTACCAAAGACGCCATTTTTAGGAATTGCGATTACAGCAGTGGAAACTCAGAGGTGAGGAAGATAGATAGGCTGGGTTCACCGAAATTTCTTCAGCCTATGAGAAGTAAGCAAAATCGGTTTGGGTGGGGTGGGTTTGCCTTTGCCATAAACATCCGTTTGGTTTTCCTAATTGACGTGGATGGTCGCGGACCATCCCCTTCGCATCCCAAAGTGGATGAGAGTCTAGAGTCAAGAGTAGGTTTGCCTTTGTCAATTTCTTTCACAAGGGAATACAAGCAATTAGTGTTTTAATCATGGTTTAAGCAACGCTAATCTTGTCATTAAAAATAACTACATCATTAGAAGAATTATAATTAATGATCCACATCAAAATGACCACTATAGCTGAAAATTTGTATTTCATTATACATCATTTTTGTTTAGGAGTACAATAAGATCATTAAGATTTGACGTGTAGCAATTTGAAAATGACGTATGACTGGTATATTTTTTTTATGAAAAATCATCTGATTTAATGGTATCATGGCAAAATCCTGAATCGCTTAACTCTTCCTAAAATATCTTCACTCGTCTAACCCTAGTTCTCACATCCTTCTATCGTCAAACCTTCTCTATTCTCTAACTCCTTATCTCGTCTCGTCGGACTTCTCTTGCCGCCGACCTTCTCTATTCTCAACTCTCTCTCTCTCATCTAAATCAATGGCCGCCAGCAATACCAAATAGCATATGGTATAACCAACATAAAATCATCCATCTCTTTTATCATTGATCTTAAGCTCCTCAATTATGATGCTTGGCGTGAGTTATTGTAACGTCTCATTTTCACAACAAAAAAAATTACATTTTAAATAAGGTAAACCTTCCTAATTATAAATCCATTATTAAATAAAACCATTTATTCCAAAATACATTTATCGAAAATCAAAGTAATATAAGAAACGCAGAATCCTCAATGCTGCTGATGAGTGTTTACAGTCCTGTTTTCGCCTTCCCACGATCATCGATAGAACCTAAAAACATAAACAATTGGGTAAGCACAAAGCTTAGTGAGTTTCCCCCAAAATACCCCATACAAAAAACGCATTAGCATACATAATGGGCCCACAATCATCGGATTGGAATACCCTGGTCCAATCAGTCATCGGACTGCAATGCCAACATGCAACGGGTCCAATCAGTCATCGGACTGGAATACACAGGGTTTGTTGGTCTGTCGCCTCAACCCAACCACTCTTCTCGACCCTTTGTGCCTACGGCTTACAGTCGGCTCGCACTAGGTATCTTGGCCTACAGCACACAGTAGGACCGCCTCAACCTCATCCACCACCATATGTCGACATATAAACAATCAAGGATCAAGTAGGCACATAATACATGCAATTATCAATCATAAAGCTCACTACCACCTACTAGTCCTCTCACAGCACACTGCTCCACTACCAGCTAGCCTCTATGAAATGCATAACCATAAGTAATCAGATGTGAGATAGCCACCCGAACATATGATCCTACTCTAGAGCCACAACTAAACAAGGAACAAGCAAGAAAGCCTAGATCAAAGGTTCTCATGCTATCCCACATGACTACCTACAGTCCCTAGGGCACTCCACTAGGTGATAACCAACCTACTGGTATTCTAACCAGCACACCACTACTGTTGCATTCTATCATACAAGGATATATGTACATAAATCTAGTAGATCACTACAGCACAACAACGTCATATACACAAGGATACATAACTAACAATCCAAGGAATGCATAACCATATGTACCTAGAGGTGAGATAGACACCCGGACAGATGATCCTACTCTAGAGCCACAACCAAACAAGGAACAGGCAGGAAAGTCTAGATCAAGAGTCCTCATTCTATCCTACGTGACCACATACAGTCCCTATGGCATCCCTCTACTAATGATAACCAAAACTAATGGGTCGGCATTGGTGCCTTCGACCCACGGGTACAGTGAGGAAAAACTCACTTAAATGAAGAACCCCAAAACACTGAGACACGCTTCCCTTTCTGTACTGCTAGCTCCCGTGAATCCACTAATCACGAAACCAGGTAGAATCTTAATCAACGGTCTAAAGCCCTCAAGTTTGACCCAAAGTCAAACTGGTCACAAAAGTCAATGGTCAAACTTGTTCAAGGTCAACGTCACGTCGTGGCCCTCCTTGTCCACGTTGTGGGGTCACAAGGTCAAATAGTCAACATGCAGGACATCGCCACATTGTGGTCCTCCTTGGCCACGTCGTGGCAATGCCAGAACAAGGCAGTCGTGTTTTTTTACTTCGCCACGTCGTGGCTACCTTTGCCACGCCGTGGCCACTGGAAAATCACCATTTTTCTCATTAAGAGCTTAATCCTTTCAGATCTAAGCTCATACTTCCAGATCTACTTCCCCACACTGACTTAATGGATAAAGTTTCCAACTTTATCCATTAGGACCTCACCATAAGACAAGATCTAAAACCCTAAGTCCATTAAGTCCTTAATATGAACAAAACTCAAAGATGGGGATAAGAACACTCAAGCTAAGACCTTTTTCTCATTAGCTCAGAAGCTCATGACCAAATGAGCACCACATCAAGCTCTGAAGTTCCTCAAACTCCAAGCGCACTCAATAACGGGACCAAAACATCCAAAAAGGGCTCATACTTGAAACAAGAAGAATAAAGGTCAAGATATGAACTTTTTACCTCCAACAACTCAGAAATGTGAAGAAGATCTTCGGTCCAAGCTTGCTCCTTTCTTCCTTGCACCAAAATGAACTACCTTCTTCTCCAAGTTTCACCAAGTGAAGCAAACTGTAACACTCGGAATTCAGGTATGTTACCTTTTATCCTTTGGGTTAAATTTATTTTTGCATGAGAGGCCCTTACGTACGATGGGCGTACATATGTGTACGCTTAGCGTACATGGTTGTAATAGACGCAGACTTCAACCACGTATGCTAGGCGTACTAAGGTGTACGCGGGGCGTACATGGCCAGACACAAAAGCCCTAATCTTACGACATGAGCCCTATTTAAGCTCACTTATGGCATTTGGACCTCACCCTTATCAGCCTCCACTGCTTGTTATCGTCCCTTAAACCCTAAATTGCTAGTGAGTGTGATCCTTGAGCTTTAAATTGTCTTTGATGGCCATTTTAGTGAGTTTGCAAGAAGAGGAGCTTGGTGTGCAAGCCTTGGACGTGGTTGAGCTTCTAGATCCTGCATCCACATCTTCTTGGAGAGCTTTTGGAGGTAAAAAGTTCAAACCTTGCTAATCCATTTGCTAGTTTGAGTTAGGGTTGTTCATTTTGAAGGGTTTTAGGTAAAACAAATAAACCAGAAAACAATTCCTAAGTTCACATGCAACCTACTTTGGATCTATGTTTTAACTATTGAACATACAACTTTGAATTGCAAAACAAGAACCCTAGAGGAGGAGGCTATTTTCGAAAATAGTAAACTAGGGTTTAGGAGTTACATACCTTTCAATTGTTATAGCAAACAATTGATAATTCCCTTGATCTTGATCTTGATCTTCTTGGAAGCTTAGCACCACAAGTGTAATGCCTCTAATGGAATCACACCTAAGAACTAGCAAGAAGGAAAGTAGAAGAGGAGAGAGGGGAGGGAGTATGCAATTTTCGGCCAGGGTTTCTTCCAAAGAACAGAGTCCCCTCAAATGTGAGCCAGGAGGCTCCTT